TAGAAAGGAAAAGGTCAAATACCAAAGAATTGCATATGAACACAACAGAATATAGAGTCATCTCTTAGTTCTGCAAAAATACAGTACATGTAAGAAGTACTTGGCTACAAATCAGTTCAGCAGTTATGAGTTTGAGGGTGTACAACTTGTGCTTCAGTATTTACTGTACATATATATAAAAAGTAAAAGTTCTCTCATCTGAAGTACTGCTACTGTTCTGTCATTATATTTTATCTGTAAGTAGTATTGAAAGCCTGTAGGCCAGCTGTCCTCATGCACAAGAACATGATCAACTACAGCGCTGTGTATTTCATCAGGAATAAATGTACTTTTACCCCGTCCCCTTCAGTTTTCATTTCCCCTCCTCTTTGTCTCCGACTAGTAGGATTAATTTTCCAAATCACATAATGACCTGTGCTCCTTTTTATATCATCCTGAGATTCTGACTGGTGTGTCATCAGTTTTGCTACTTAATGTTCACACATGGATAAATGTGTGCTGTTTGAGTTCATTTTGTGATTCTTGAGGTAGTTATATTGTGTTTGTGTTTTCTAAATGAGAACATGGTTAAACCTGTGCAAAATGATGCCGTTCTTGTGTAGAGTTTTGCAGAAAATACTGAGCAAATTGAAGCGTGTGTGAAAACAAAAGTTAAAAGTTTTGAGAAACGTGTCTTTGTTTCAGGAACTGTATGAATGGTTTGGAAAATTGTGTCAAACGAATCAGTTATAGTGTGTTAGCAATCGAGAAAAACTGTAATGTGCGTATGCATGCATACATACTAATTTAAGATATACCTTTCATATTATGGGTTGTTTTGTATGTGTCAAATGCAGTTATTATTTGTTTATTTTGTAAAACCTTTTTGTATTGTTTTTCAGGATTTATATAAACTTTGTTGATATGGATGCAGCTAATGTGGCTTGGAACAGCACTACCTTTGGATAAAGAATATAGATTTATGATCCAATATAAGGTGGCGGTTTCTATTCCAGCTCTACTTGGAGAAAACCTGTTGGGAGCATAATGCTATCAGTCAATTAAATCTTAACACACAGCACTTACTGCTTACAGCAGACAACATCTCCCTTTGACAATAAAGCTTTCTTTAAACTGCATTGAGATGTTTTTGTTGGTACATGCCTCTTTAAAGCACAGATGTTTTTACAAAATCATAATGCTGACAAGGGGATTGTATTGTTATTGGCCATAAAATTAAATGGTAAATTAAATTAGATATTAACACATAAATATCCAAAATAAAAGAAACCACAACATACTGGGCAAATGAAGTAGCTCAGCATTAGACTTACGGCATCATGATGAATTGGCAGCATTTTTAATTCTTGAGCCACACTTCCAATGTTAAAAATCTTGTTTTAGGCATGTCTTAGTGTTTGAGTCTTAATTTGTGTGCTACTGAACTGTTTCTGTACTTTGATTTCATAACTAGCCTAGCAAAAACATCCTTTTGAGAAATCAGCAGAGGGGAAATACATGCTTCAAAAGATTATAAAAGGCACAGTGGCATATATATATATGATGTGAGACCACACATCTGTCTGAAATATTTTAGCCACAATGAGACTATATTCTAGACTACTTTTGACCATAATGATGCAGATAAAAGGTAGATCATGGTAGCTTTATTTGTATAAGTCAAACAGGAAAAAAAGACTGACAAAACATTAACATTGAGTACAGAGACCAGTAATAGTAATCTAAAACTAGTCATTTCAAAATAGAACATGAACAAGACTTTGAGAGTTTAACAGGAGAAACAAAGCAAGGTCAATTATCCAGTCCGGAACAGCAGAGCCGATCATCAGAAAACAGACAGAGAGATTTTCCCATTAGTCTATTTACATCATTATGCATCCAGTGTCCAGGAACAAAGATGACTTGACTAGAGGGAGAGAAAAAAAATTAGGAAAATTAATTTTATTGCCATTTACAAAGCTATAATTTGTTAAAGACATGTTAAGCGCAACAGACTCGCCTGTCTCCTTATAACCTCTACTTGCTCTTCAACGCTTCCTTCAGGGCAGAAACCACTTCAGCAGGATCAGGAAACTTAAGTTTGCGTGGAGGACCCTTCTTAATGCCAGACCACAAAACAACCTCTGCTCAGGAGAAAGAAATACAGAGGCAGCATATGTAAAAAAAATAAATACAAATTCGTTGGACAGCCATAAAATGCAACCTTTGTTACTCGATGCAGGCAGCTGAAAGAAGACATGACTGAATACTGCTTGGGCTTCTTTCCGTGGCAGGCTAACCTTTGTCTCCCTCCATCAGCGTGACCTCAAAGCTGTTCCGCCGAGGTTTCTGAGGATTGAGCACCACACGAAGTTCAGGGTGCGAAGCCGCAAGTGCCTCACGCACACCTTCCGCATTCCGCCCATAGACCCGTCAACTTTTGCTGTAAAACATTTAGAATATGAACATGACTCAAATATAAGGGTGTCTTATATATAATTAACTTTAGGGGGTATTTCTACATCTTTTTAAAAATCTTTTAAATTGTTTTAATATTGCAAAAACTGCTGTAAATAATTCACAAAATATTGGTACACAATAAACAGTGCATGAACACATTTTCAATAGCTAGCCATGTGACCTCACCAATGCTCAATGACGACCCTTTGTCCTGTTTCTTCATCTTTATTGTCTACTCCATCAAGCTTTTCCTTCTTCTCCCCCACTGCAACGGTTTCTGCATCCACGTCAGTTTTACGCTTCCGACCACGACCTGCATATTAAGGTGGATATTATATATATATATATATATATATATATATATATAGTGAGCTGAAATCAAGCTTAGGATCTTTGATCTGCCAAAATGTTTATTTCCAAATGGTTTATTTGAAATAAAAATCTAGTATATAAAATATTCATCATTTGTTCATTTCACTCCAATCACATATGTCTTCCAAACTCTTTTTTTTCCTCCATACAGTTACAATGAATAGGGACTGAGGCTTCTCTGAAAATCTCTAGGTTCTCTGAAAATTTGTGGATACATACGCTTGTCCCTGTCCCTCAATATGTTGATCTTAAATAAATCGATCCGATTCACAAAACTGATCTGACTGAATTTGTTCACAAATTGGTTTATCATTTCAAGGGGAGGATTTTTAAATATGTTCTTCATTAATGTATGGTTTCAGAAGACTTGAAAATATATAGGGATTATTTTTATGATATTTTAAGCTCGAAAGCCTCAAGTCCAGAGGATGAGCCTTTCTTTTTGAGCAAAGGATCATGATAAAATCTCTTCTGCTCTGAATTGCATTAACATAGTTCATATACATAAAACACAACATGAAAGCTTATGCAGTGAAATGAGTGTGCCTTTTCACATTTTTGAGCAATGGATGTAATTAGGTTTAATATCATGATATTGAACATAATATAGAAATGACAAAAAAAATTGATATCCATTTGAAAAGGTTTAATAATATCCAAGCCTGTTACATTCAATTCATAGAAGGTTCATTAAAGGGGAAGTCTCCACTAAGCGATTAGGTTCAAGTTGAAATCATGGATGCTGATTGGTCAATACAGCATTCTTATTATACAATGTTACACAACATATACTGTATGCTAAAATTTCCATCATGCCTAAAATGTCCCTTTACCTTTCCTAATAACTCCCTTCTGCTTTTAGTTACAGAATGTCATGTGCATTTAACTGATGTTGTTGTTTGGTTCTCTCTTTTACAGATGAAATCTACCCTAAAGTATACCACACCTGCTTCTTTATTGTCACTTATTTTGCTCCATTATGTTTGATGGTCCTGGCATACATTCAAATCTGTCATAAACTCTGGTGTCAACAGGTATGTAAGTGTTCTTGACACTTTAAAGTTAAGCACAACTGCATTTATAAATGACACTATTTTTTTCTGTAAACTCTTGTTCTGTTCCAACACATAATGATTTGTCTATCTTTCTCCTGCTTACTTGCACAGCTGCATGTTAACATTGTAACTGAGATGGAACTTAGATGACTAGATTTTGGATTTGGTAGTGCTAGGTGTGGTTTTGTTTACTACCAACTGCACAAATCTTATGTCTTTACTTGTGTATTCATTGCTGAAAATGTGGCTATATGGACACAGTCTAACGGGTGTGAATTGCTGCACCATGACCCATAACACACAGTGCTTTATCCCTGAGCAGATTCCTGGAACATCATCGGTGCTTCAAAGGAAATGGAAGTCGCTGCAGTGTTCTGCCCATGCTGTAGGCTCAGGAGAATCGGTGAAAGTGAGAACCAGCACTGTCTCAGCGGAGATCAAACAGGTGAAAGCCCGACGGAAGACGGCACGCATGCTGATGGTGGTGCTGTTTGTGTTTGCACTCTGTTACCTGCCCATCAGTGTTCTCAACATCATGAAGAGGTAAGCACTATACTTGGCAGAGGTAGTGCATGTGCTTATTATAACACAATTATGCTTACACCTCCTCTGTCCCTGTGTCTCAAAACATCTGTCAAGAACATGGCTGGATAATAAAAGTAAAAACAAAAAACAAACAAACAAACAAAAACAGGAAATTTCGCATAAAGACAACAAAGCTTATTTTTTGGTCCATTAATGTTTTGGGTTGTGACACAATTCTAATGCCAATTCATGAGGATTGTTTTGTGATTATTCTCAACTGTGATCCACATTAGTTCCCTTTTGAGTGGAACCCAACACTGCATCATTGTTGATGCTATGGGAATGCTTTAGCATTGGCCGGTGTCTGAAGCATGTGTGAAAACACCCCAATCTTGATTGGCTCAATGTGAGATCAGGTGAGGTAGCGTGGAATGTCAGCAAAACCATAAGATGAAGCCAAGACCCCTGTTGTGTTTGGAATAGAATACAACCATACAACTCCTACTATAGTGCAGTATGCAATGTGTATACTGTGAATAGTATGTGTATTTTCTGTATGCATGGAATTCCTGGATTACCTGCTACATTTGCTGAAATTTGATGTATGCATCTGAGGATCACTGCATGGGATACTGTTTCCCACAATGCAAGGCGCTCCACGTGACGTTTCATCTTCAAATGCGAGAGTGAACTGGAGACGGGGATAGTAATTATAAATGTAACACTTTTATATGTACTTATATACATATTACTGTAAACTACAAACGAGCAAATATTGCTCTTTATCTAAAAACAATATCGTTAGTAGGACATAAATTGTACTGTACCTTAATCTATATGGCACGTTTCCGATCAAGTCAAATGACATCACCTTTATCACTATAGCACTTTATACAGTACAGATTGTTTCAAAGAGATTAAATAATAATAATATTGCAGTAGAGTCAGCAGTAAATACTTTTATATTGAAAGAGACTGAAACAAGGTTGTAAACAAGGAAGATATATTTACTTTCAACAACACGCACGTATTAATCTATATGGCACGTTTCCGATCAAGTCAAATGACATCACCTTTATCACTATAGCACTTTATACAGTACAGATTGTTTCAAAGAGATTAAATAATAATAATATTGCAGTAATATGATATATAAATAACATAAATAAAAATATTTAAATTATGCAAGCAGAATTCAAGAGAAGTGCAAGTAGCCCAATTTGTTGGCAGAGCCTATTTACAGTAACTCCTTCCAGCAATGCCTGGCTGCGATAAACAGCACTGCAAAAGACGGCTGTTTACCTGCAGGATGAGTGGCGTAGCAAGTAAAACGCAAAGCAATTGACGCGATCGACCCAAGTTCGAATCCACCTTTTGCCAAACTCGTCAACTTGCCATCACATATCAGATCAGAAAGGCATTTACTTTTAATAAAAATAAAGGAAATATTTGGAAAGTGGAAGTAAAACGCCTCAATAATAATACAGTGTTTATTTGGTATGGTTAGATAGGTGTAGGAAGGGCTTTATTGTTCCAATAAGGCGGCATCCATTTAATAATATTAATAAATATGATAATTTACACTCAATATGTTATTACATACTGTTTTATAATGTACTGCAGTACTGAAGTATAAATATCTGCCACCTAACTACTATTTACACTTAGCCTGTTGCTAAAGAAAATACTGCTACTTTAGTGTTAGCAAAATTTATCATTATTTGCCCTTAGTGTAACTAGAATATATCACTTTTTCCACTTAACTGTCAAAAAGAAAACAATATCATTGTTCAGTTAAAGACAGCTCAGTGTTAATTCAGTTCAAGTTATATTTTATGTAACTTTAATGCTGTATATCAGAGCACTGCCTTTGTATTTTTGACTGAATTGCCTAGCAACTTTTATGATGGCTGTTGTTGTTTGTTAATTATTAAATAAATAATATTTTATATAAATAACAGTAGTATTTAATTATAGTATTTAGTATTGGGAAACGGTGTGTCTGTGTTCGTGATAGTGATTAGCTATATTGTTCCACCATTAGATGATGACAAGAGACTGTTTTTATGAATGAGTCAGCAGTAAATACTTTTATATTGAAAGAGACTGAAACAGGGTTGTAAACAAGGAAGATATATTTACTTTCAACAACACGCACGTATTAATGCCTTATTCTACATGACCTTATTCTTCATCCCTAATCCTACCCAGTTGCTAAAGAAAATACTGCTACTTTAGTGTTAGCAAAATTTATCATTATTTGCCCTTAGTGTAACTAGAATATATCACTTTTTCCACTTAACTGTCAAAAAGAAAACAATATCATTGTTCAGTTAAAGACAGCTCAGTGTTAATTCAGTTCAAGTTATATTTTATGTAACTTTAATGCTGTATATCAGAGCACTGCCTTTGTATTTTTGACTGAATTGCCTAGCAACTTTTATGATGGCTGTTGTTGTTTGTTAATTATTAAATAAATAATATTTTATATAAATAACTGGGGCATATCTTAATGACAATGATGAATTAATGATATTCAGGAGAGGATCAATGACTTCAGGAAGCACCTCTTTTAGTAGCTTAGATGGTATAGGATCTAACATACATGTTGTTGGTTTAGATGATTTAACAATTTAAACAATTCTTCCTGTCCTATAGCAGAGAATGAGTGGAATTGTTCCTCAGCGGATCTATAGTGTCTGTCCTAGGGCCTTTGTATTTTTGACTGAATTGCCTAGCAACTTTTATGATGGCTGTTGTTGTTTGTTAATTATTAAATAAATAATATTTTATATAAATAACAGTAGTATTTAATTATAGTATTTAGTATTGGGAAACGGTGTGTCTGTGTTCGTGATAGTGATTAGCTATATTGTTCCACCATTAGATGATGACAAGAGACTGTTTTTATGAAAGATTATTGAAAAGGTAGTTTTTAATCGAAAGAGACTGAAACAGGGTTGTAAACAAGGAAGATATATTTACTTTCAACAACACGCACGTATTAATGCCTTATTCTACATGACCTTATTCTTCATCCCTAATCCTACCCAATACCTAAACGTAACAACTACCTTACTAACTATTAATAAGCAGCAAATTAGGAATTTATTGAGGGAAAAGTCGTAGTTAATTGTTGGGGCATATCTTAATGACAATGATGAATTAATGATATTCAGGAGAGGATCAATGACTTCAGGAAGCACCTCTTTTAGTAGCTTAGATGGTATAGGATCTAACATACATGTTGTTGGTTTAGATGATTTAACAATTTAAACAATTCTTCCTGTCCTATAGCAGAGAATGAGTGGAATTGTTCCTCAGGGAATCTATAGTGTGCTATCTGATGCGATACTGTGGCTGATGGCTGCATGGTTATAATTGTAGTATCGATCTTGGAAGTAAAGAAGTTCATAAAGCCATTACTGCTGTGCTGTTGGGAAATGTCTGCGCCTGCTGATGCTTTATTATTTGATAATTTAGCCACTGTATTGAATAAATGCCTGGGGTTGTGTTAGTTTTCTTCTAAAAGAGACTAAAAGTAAGCAGATCTAGAAGTTTTTAAGGGTTTTCTGTAAGTAGACGTACTTTCCCTCCATGCAATACGAAATACCTCTAGTTTTGTTTTCTTCCAGCTGCGCTCCATCTTCCAGGCTGCTCTCTTTAGGGCCTGAGTGTGCTCGTTATACCACTGTGTCTGACTGTTTTCCTTAATCTTCTTTAAGCATATAGGAGTGACTGTGTCTAAAGTAGTAGAATAGAGTGTCAATAGTTTCTGTTACACCATCAAGTTTTGCTGCACAATTGGATATGCTGAGGAATTGAGAAAAATCGGAAAGATTATTTACAAAGCAGTCTTTTGTTGTAGAAGTGATGGTTCTACCATATTTGTAACAAGGAGTTGAACTTGCAGCTTTAGCTATATGGAGTATACAAGAGACTAGATAATGATACGAGATATCATCACTCTGCTGCAGAATTTCAATGCCATCAACATCAATTCCATGTGATAGTATTAAATCTAAAGTATGATTATGACAATGAGTAGGTCCTGACACATGTTGTCTAACCCCAATAGAGTTCAGAATGTCTATGAATGCTGATCCCAATGCATCTTTTTCATTATCAACATGGATATTAAAATCACCAACAATTAAGACTTTATCTGCAGCCAGCACTAACTCAGATAGAAAATCAGCACATTTTTTGATAAAGTCTGTATGGTGCCCTGGTGGCCTGTATACAGTAGCCAGTACAAATGTCACAAGGAATTTATTATTAACACTTATTAATGTTATATAAAGCACCATTACTTCATCTGCGATTATATCATTTACAAAAAGCGCTTTTGTAGAAATGGATCAAATATCCATTAAGCCAAGCTTTATCATTTGTTTATCTGTATTATATCTGTTTTTCTATGCCTGGTTCACCTTCTCACACTGGCTTATATACGCCAACAGTGCCGCCAATCCAATTATCTACAATTTCCTCAGTGGTGAGTATTTGACACCTTTCCGCTACATCAGAGGTTTCTGGTTTTGGAGACCCACAGCAATGAATATTTTAAGTGTCTTTCTTTTTTACACACCAGACTGAAATCATCATCATGTTAGCGGCGAGCTGTCTGAATTTATCTGGCCGTGTCAGATAAAACAGACATATAGATGACCAGAGCTGAGAACAACTGTGCTACATGTCATTTCCTCCATCTGCTGGTCACACTAAGGCATCGCACCTTTCATTCCCTACACTGCCTGCAAACACACAGAAAACTTCAAAGCTTTGAAATGCCATTTGCCCTCCAGAAACATCCTGCACCTTTTCATTCCAAACGAGCAAGCTAATTATCTCTTCATTAGCATTGCAATATTCTCTTTGTGCACCATGGTACAGGTTTGATGATACTGATTACATCATTACCTGGTCAAGGGCGCTTTAGACATCATTATATCAGCATGGATGATTTAGTGCACCCACTGAAGATGAATTAATACATTTAATCCCACCAGTCACACGGGAGAGCTTTGAAAGATTTGTTTATTTTTTAAATTTTTTTAAATTTTAATTATTATTATCAGAATGTTTTGTCGTACTGCACCAGTGACAGGCTGTTGGACTATTAGAGGTACAGTTTTTGGTCATTTTTCTTCTGAGAGTTTATAAAAAACTGTCATTTTAAAATGGGTGATGTATTCACATGACTAGAGGCATTTCCAGGTTGCTCTTTCTGAAAGATGATGTTTGTGTTGAAGTAAAAGACTGCCCGTTATCGGTCCGTTATTTGTTCTGGCTTATATAAGCATGCCCACAGGCCATGTAAACCTGTCAGTGCTCACAGTTGTGAAAGTAAATAAAAGAATGTTAAATTATTAACAGTCGTTTACACTGAAGCAAGTGTATGTGTTCTTACTGATGTTCATTTGGGAATGATGAATGAGATGGTGTAATCCACAGCATGTGCTCACTTATCTGTGAAAAATGTGGATTTAAATGGATTATTAAAATGCTTAAGGTTAATTTGACGCTTTAAATCAAATCCTGAATATTTTTCCTTGCAGGTAAATTTCGAGAGGAGTTCAAAGCAGCGTTCATCTGTCATTGCTCCGGTAGAGATGAGACACACAAGGAGAGAGTCAGAGCGAGAACCAGCACAGATAGCCGCAAATCTCTGTCTACCCAAGTAAACAATTTTGACAACATCTCCAGGATATCTGACCAGGCTATGTAGAGAAGGGTTTGCTGGGTTAATCCTACTGGGTGCCACTTCACCAGTCACCACCGCCGATTAGAAGAACACAGACGCGCTTGTATGTTTTGACCTGCGAGACTAACGGATGGAAGGATTGAATAGACCTATTAGCCCCAGAGAATTACCCTCACTTTTTGAAAATGACATTGTGTCTCGCGTAAGAGCACATGAACCTTCAGTGGAATTGAAATTTTTACCCTCTGAACCAAGGGTTATTTTCTGCTCACCGCAACAGGTGATGTACCCCACAATCCCCAGAGATGATGTGCATGAAAATAATGGCATGTCTCTGAATCACATCGTTGATGTGAGACTGCATTCCTCAACTCAAGATTGAAAGCCAATGACAATAGAAGGGAAGCACAAAAAAAAATAAACAATTTTTAAAGGTGACGTGTGTAATTTTTCCAATGTTGAAATACTTTCTCCTATCAAATCTTATGTAGACACAACTATAAGTAATTTGCGAGTTATCTGTAAAGTGTAAAGACTGCAGCACTGCTGCTCTGTATGTTTGAGCATCCTGTAACCAGCTGAACACAGTGATACTGGCTCATCAGTCATGTGCATTTTGGATGGTACTATTTGTTTGATTGGCCAGTGGCAGATGTATTCAGGAAGCCTGTTTGAAATCAAACAGTATTTTTGTAATTCATCCCCTAGCAGTGCAGAAATAACACACTTCAGAGAACAGGTCGCACTTTACACAATGCATGCATAAACTGCTTCAAGTACAAAATTGATATTATATATATATATATATATATATATATATTTTTTTTTTTCATGATTAAACAATGTATAATTTGTAATGTTTCTCTATAAGAATACTCTGTCATCTTTTCAGGAACAGTTCGCTCTAATTTCTCAGTCAGGTACTCAAAAAAAACATCAGGTCATTTACTTAGTGTACATTTTGATAGTTATGCTTACAGATAAAAGTCTGTTTTATTGCCAGTGTTAGGCATCTGTGTTGTGTGGTGTTTGCATTTATTTCTAAAGGAGTTGTTTTGACGTTTTGCACGGTCCAGCAGTAATTATTTGCTCTGAGTGTTTGCTTGTTGGGAGCGCTGGCTGTCATGACTATTATTAGTCAAACGACTACAGAGTCATAAAACAGAACAATGGCACAATAAAGCATCTTTGTTCAAGTGTGGTACAAGCGCAAACAGGTGAACAGCAGGGCATAGAACTACTTATGATGTTGTTATCTCTCAGGTGCTTGCTTTGAGGTCTTGTTTATTTATTAAAAATGTGTACTTGCTGCTGCTTATGACATTTATACATAAATACACTGAATGTGTTTGAAATTATGTTTGTATATATGGATTCCAATTTTGCTTTAAAAAAATACACTACGAAGCCACTCGTCATTTATGTCAATTGCTTTAGTTAGCAAATATGTAAATGATTTTCATACATGCTGACTTTTAAACCATGTTTACACAAAAAAGTGAATTACTTTTGTCTATGTAGATGCGATCCAAATATAAATAAACAAAAGCAACACAAGTAATTGCTTTTTGCGAATTGTTTTGCCAGCACTAAACTAGCACTAACATGCATGAAGTATTCTGAACCAGCATGGAAATATATGATGTTCTGAGCTGGTCTTTTCAGGGTTTTCATGCATTTTCTCGTGCCATTATTATAAATAATTCAGTGATATAATTCTACTTTGTAACTCAGTTGTAGTCGTAAGGCACAGTTTGATTACACATAAAGTTAGGTGTCAGGACTTTTGACCTAATATGCTTGTCTGAGGCTGAGACTAAGGTTAGTGATAAATGTTTAGTTTTAACTATACAGTAATAGTTAAAGATTTATTTTATATATTATAAAACATTTCAACATTTCTTTAAGACACAGTTACAGATGGCTAGGATATGAACTGACTCGAGAACTGGCCCCGATTACATGGTGTGACAGTGAGCCGTGCAGGTGAGTGACATTCAACACAGAGAGCGACGCACCTGAGGGATTATTCATTAGCACCGTGACGTCACGCTGGGTTGAATAGAGCGCGGTGAAGCGGAGCTGTTCACTCGCACAGGTGCTTAACACCGATACTCCACCAACATGAAGGCCATGAAAGCAGCATTTCTCATGGGTGAGTAGAGGATCTATTTTAAGGATTAGTGAGCTTTTAGCAGTTCGGTGCTTCATTGATCTTGGAAGTTATTCCAGATGGAGTTATTGAAATTGATTTCTCGTGTGTGTGTGTGTGTGTGTGCCTGAACAATTGCCTGGTGTTTCTATATTGCTCTATTATGTAAAATTTGTGACACTAACTTCAATTCCTTTGTACAAATGACAGATTCTCTTTCTTCCATCAGAGCTAAAGATGCTCTTTAAAACATTCTCATAATGATAATGGATAATATGGATCATGAGGTTTTGTCCTACTACCTGCTCAAGTGTTGCTTTGATTAAAGCAAAAATGGGAAACATTGCATATATTCTTGTCAGGTTTTCACTCAGTTTGTTATGTTAATGGAAAAAAAAAATTGGAAAGAATATTTTCAAAGAAAACATTTTTACAAAACGTTTGGAGCCTAATGGCTTTGAAACGCGTGAGACTATGTAGTAAATATTGTGTGAGTCCACGCTGAACAGGTAGATTGCCATTTCTCACTGCATTAAGCTGATCTCAGGACGAGCCAATTATGAATGTTATTTTCCATTCCAGTGTCTCATTTGCTGTACCAGCTAGTTTGCATTGACACATCGAGAACTACAGACTGCATTTCGCACATGGATGCTTGTGTTTCTCCACATGTCTGCAGAAGCGAACAGGCTGTTCTCAGAAATATCTGTTATTTTAAAGGTACAGAATTCTTATTTAAACTTCTATGAGTGCAACCGGTTGTTTTTTGTTTAATGGGATAGGACCCGGGGTTGGCTGGTCGCACTGGGTAAACTGCTCTCACAAAAAAAATGTACAAATTGAATGTTTGCCCTCTTGATCCATACGAGCTGATTCTGTCAAGGCATTAAAAATTAAAACCTTTCAAGGTGGGGGCAACTTTTCGATTTGTCACAAAAGAGTGTGAGTAGAGGCGGTCGGCACACTGATTTCAAGGTTTTGGGTGCCACGTGGAGTGTAATATAAGAATAATGAATAATTTATAGCAAATTATTTCTATATACACAGACAAACATACATAAAACAGCCCCACTATACATGATTTTTCACACTTTAAATCCACCATGCTGCCATTTCAACTGAGCTGGGTTATCTTAATTTTGACAAAGATATTCAACAAAGAAAATGCTGTCAGCAATACCTGTCTCTTCTACCTTGTGAAATGTCTCATCACTGTGTTGGCAGTAATTGGATTTAAGCGCAATAGCCTTGAGCAAACAGCATGACTCAAAGTGAGGCTGTATGTCCATCCAGGGAAGAAGAAAGGTCTAGCTTGAGGGGACATTGAAGTTTGTTGGTAGTGCCTGAATGCAAGAAAGAAAGAGAGAGAGAGGGAAGAGAGAGAAAACACACTGGCCTCAGGGAAGCAAAGTATATAAGCAAACAATATATGAGATCATCAGTCCATATTCACATTATGCTATTGACTGTTATGTTGATACATTTTAACATGAGACCATAATAACCGTTTTGGAAAATCGTAGCACACTTTAAAATTTATAGATAATTATAGACATTTTATGCTTCAATTTAAGGACCAATTAAAGGATTAAATGCTTTATAAACAATCACATACAATAGCCATTAACTTCAGCTATTAAAAATTCATGCACACATTGAGACACAGATGTATAGAGTTCACTCATTAAAAGCTGATGGTAAGCTCATGTCAAAGCAGCGACGTTGAAATTGCCTACAAAACTGATAAGAAAAAACTAAGAAACATTGTTATTTCAACAAAAAAACATCAAATTTGAAATGTAACGCAGGGAAATCTGAGAATGTCAATTTACGGTTATTCACTGTAAATTATACGGTCTTTTTCACTTCCAAAAATGGTATACTACCGTAAAATTAATGTCCAATACATGTAATGTCCAATACAGTTTTTCACCGTATATAGTAGGGGTATATAGTAGGGTAAATTCCCCTACTATATACCATTAACCATTTAACAGGTTTTTACTGTAGCATTTTTACAGTCTTTTACCGTTAAATTCACGGTCATTTTTTACAGTGTAGTAAAGGTTGCTTTGCTGCTGTCTCTTCTCATCCCTGTGGAAAGATGGAGACTGCCACATGACTGACGCAAAGGTCTGTAACGCCACTCTTCAGATGATGTTAAGCCGCTCACCTGCATTGGGACAGTGTGTGTGTTCTGGGTCGGATCCATGCAGCACTCTACAGCAGCTGTACTCTCAGTGCCAGCATCATCAGGGTATACCCCACACATTAAGTATTGCAATATCAATAATGCAAATATGAAAAAAGCTAGGTTCTACATCTCTAGCATGCTGCCAATTACCACAGTCAATTTTTGCCATGCAAAAATTGCATGCACAGTAACATGCTAAAAGGGATAGTAATTATTATTATTATTGTTATTTTATGTGGAATACAAAAGTGGAGATTTTGAATAATCTTCATTTAGTTGTTTTTCATGCAAATCATAAAAGTATTATAAAAGTTCCTGTAATGTTATAAAAGGTGTGATGCATATGTCACTGTCATTTTTAATTTGAAATAATTATTTTGCTTTGGCAAAAGGAAAGATTGGTAACACTTTAGAATAGGGAACACTTATTCACTATTAACTACAACTTTTCTATCAATCAATTCCTAATTTGCTGCTTATTAATAGTTAGTAAGGTAGTTGTTAAGTTTAGGTATTGGGTAGGATTAGGGATGTAGAATAAGGTCATGTAGAATAAGGCATTAATATGTGCTTTATAAGTACGAATAAATGGCTGATATTCTAGTAATATGCATGCTAATAAGCAACTAGTTAAGAGACCCTAAAATAAAGTTTTACCGAAAGATTATCAGTGAAAAAAGAACTTACATACAGGTTTGCAATGACATGACAAGCAATGACATGAGTAAATGCCAACAAAATGTTCAGTAAACTATTCCCATATTGTTTCCCAGCTAAAAAAAAAAACCAGCAACCTGAGGCAGAATGGCAAGCCAGAGATCACAAAGGACATGGTCAGTGGTGGCTTGTCAGGGAAGGCAAGGGAGGCACATCCTACACAAAATTTTGACGTGGAAAAATGGAATTAGATTACAATTTAATGTTAATAAAATCTCAAGTTATT